AATAATATATGGATTCTACACAAACAAAGGAATGAGAAAAATGAAGCAAGAACTATGAAATCAAACTTGCTGCAAGCTCTGGTTGTTTTGCTTCATTTATCAAAGAATCATTACACAGTTAACCTCAACAGGAATCAGATAATAAATTATCCTTCAAAGCGTAGATTGCCTAAAATAATCTATGCAAGACACCAAAGTTAGGTACTAAATAATTTATCTTGTAGCCCAAACTGACCTAACACAAACTTCTAACTTTATTATTTATTTGGCATCTGGGATGCTTCTCAAACAAAGGCCACGGGTCCAAAACAACCATCCATTTTTCAGGTACATGTTTGGCAACATTAAGTCTAACTTAGGAAGAACAAGTAATATTGAATCAATCAAGTAAAACATAAAATTAGCTTAAATGTTGGGGAAGAAAAATAGGTAGAAGACATAAAAGGCTAACCTGGACAATAAAAATATCAGGAGAACTTATTTTTACACAAAGGAACCAAAGAAGCATGAAAAATTGAACCAAGGGCTTCAACAAAAGCATTATGGGTTGAAGTATCTTCGGTAAGCTTTGCCGGGCTGTTGGCCATTGCTTCTGAAAATTAGAAAATGTTCCAAAACTACATCAACTTTCATAAAGTATGAGGATAACTTGTCCTGAAAAGGTTAGTCCACTTACTTACCATTATGTAAAAATCAATAGATGGGTTGTCACGAAGTGCAGCATGGGGCTCCGAACCTGTTAGAAATTATTAAATAAGAAAAAATTTACTCATGCTATACGTGAAAATTAGTAATTAACTCCATCATTTCTGTACTAATAAAATCTAACTCTAATGATTCATTATAAAAAATTTGAAATCAGTAAAGGTACCTCCATATGCAACAATGTCTACCTTCAGGGAAGCCTGCAATGCCACATAGAAAAGCACTAGACTCATAAATAAGGATTAAATAGTGTAAAAAATACATAATGCTCATGCCTACATAAGAAAGAGTTGGACAGTAGGTTGGAGAATCAAAGGGGACAACAGAGAAGTCAATACCAGCTCAGTAGATGAGATAACAGCATATGAATAAAACTCAAATGTAAAAGGAAAGTTGTGAGGCAATTGGAACAAAAAGCTATACCCAGTTGAGCAAATCCCAAACAAAATTACATTTAGAATGAACATACATCAATAGTGCATAGCTAAACCAGCTAGGTCCAAAAACCAATAACCACTACTGTTAAATTAATCCTCAAGACCACACATAATACTATTATTAAATATCTAAAAGTAACCGCTGCCAGGTCAGGAGCTCTCAGTTGAACAAATAAAAACATGGAACATAACCACCAAGCATGTGAATTAACTCATAAAGGGTTGTTTCAGCTTAACCAGTAATCTCGAGTTCGAGTCCTTAGAAACGCAATTGTGTTAAACTTGATAGTATGAATTGATAGATGGGATAAGATATTCTATCTATATTTTTTCCATCCCTACCAATCTCCAACACCGTTGGATCAGAATCTGAAGATGTTGGAAATTGGTAGGCATGAGAAAAAAGTAGGTAGAATAACCTATTCCTTGATATATAACAAAAAAAATAAATAACATGGAATATATAACCTGAGCAAGCCTGGATTAAAATTCAAGAATCATGCTCATAAAAAGAGAACATCTATTACACCCAATACAGAACCCAGCCATCAAATAACAAGCAATCAGATTAAATATGAATTATGGTAAGGTCTTAATCCAAAGCATAAAAATCAATAGCATGATTGATTCTCCAATTAAAACTTGGAACAGAAGAATTATTACTATGATCCAGGCTCTGGCAAAATTACAACGAAGTCAAAATGGGGGGGTTACATCAATTCTGAGATTAAACAAAAATGAAAAATGAAAAAAAGAAAATAAATTAAATTAAATTAAATTATTACATGAAATTATAAAAAGAAAAACCTGTTTGGCGAGTGAAAGAGCGTGATACTGCATTCGAGGGCTGCGTCCAATGTCGCCCAAAACCACCACACACGCCCTTCCTCTTCTTCCTTCCTTATTTTCTTCGCTTTTCCCTTCGATTAACAAATTGAAATTGAAATTGAAATTGAAATTCAAAAAAAAAAAACCCATTCAGGAAAATCCAATTTTCTCAATCGGAAACGATTTTCCGGGAAAATAGAAAAGAAAAGAAAATCTCACCAGCCATTTATCGTATCAATGGAAAATCAAATATTTTCGCAGTTGGTAGTGATGCAGAGTAGTCAATGAAGTAAAATTGAGGAGAGAAGACGAAGAAACGAAAGCCCGGGTTCGGGTCCGATCTAAACCCGACCCTGGAAGTGTTGATTTGACCCGAATTAAACTCGGGCCGGGTCAGTGGCGAAATTGTAATTTTTTGTCCATTTCATGGCCCTCTTTGAAACTGAAGCACTTCCTTCGCTTGAATACAGTATTTGAGAATTGAGTTTTTTTTAACATCAAAATTACACATGATGGAACGCAAACAGAATCAAACTCCACAAGGTTTGAAATTAACCAATAAAGTTTTTTATTTTTATTAATTATTTAATACATATTGTTGGCATTTACTATGATTCTGTGGGAAAATTTGCAGGCCAAACAGCACGAGTTTTGGTTGAATTTTTGGAGGTGGCTATTACTTGTGTTGTTTTTCTCAAAGGGGTTTATCCTTCAGGTTGATTCTTGCATACCCATTAATTTTATTTTATTTTTATTTCTGTTTGGTTGCTGGGAAAAAGAAAAAGCAATGATTTTGACTGCACAATGCACATTTTTAGTTCTTATTTATTTTATTTTATTTTATTTCTTTCTTCCTTTGATTTTGTAGTTCTTGGTTACTGAATTGTATAATTGATTAGAATTAATTTTTTATTAATTGGGTTTTTGGGTGTGGAAAAAGGTGCCTTTGAGAGGAGAAGGTATATGAATGTGGTGGTTCAAAGGGCTTTGCATCCTCAGCTTAGATATTACATACATGCTACTGTTTCAGGGCTTCTTCCATTTTTACAGAAGGTTGGTCTTGTTTGGTAATTTTATTTTCTTATTTTTGTTAACTCAACCTTGAATTAGTTGTTCTTCTTGTTGTTGTTTGCTTTTCAATGAGAAAATAACTCAAATGAGTATATATTCTGGTTGTTGTTTGGTAGTAGCAATGTAATATTGCTTCTTTGTCGTAAAATATAAACTTCATTAATAGTGTTAGGACTCATAATAACTTCTGAGTAATCTGGAGGTTCAGACTTCGAGCTTCTCTCATCCCCACTTACCTAGCATATATATTGTGCATAATTATTAAAAGAATTTCCGTGGCTTCACTATTGTGGACAAGCTTTTTCTTAAACTGGTTTTGAGCTACCCTGCTTTTTGGCTTAATGCATATATGTGTGTGTTTTGTTGAACACTTGTTCAACAAGACAGTACAATAGATTGCAGTCAATCTGTTGTTTTAAAGGTGCAATCATTTGCTAGAGACTAATCACTTCAATCTTTCAATTGGTTATATAGTATATTATGATAAGTTCCCTTGAATGCAACATTTGTTTCAATCAATGTATTTCCTTTCTTTTTGCCACACAAATTAGGAGATCTTTTGACTCCGGCAGCTGTTGATTTCCGTCCATCTAACGGCAGTAATTTAGTTAGAATTAATAATTAGTTAATTGATATAACTCAATAAACTATAACTGTTAGATGAACGGAAATCAATGGCTGAGATGGGAGTAAGAGCTCTTAGTCTTACACTATAATCAAAAGATCCCTCTTGGTATAACAATGTAATTAAAAATTATATGTGATGATATTGTATGTTACAACCTACACCTAACTTAACACCTTGGAATCTTTGCTTTTTACTTGCTATTAATATTGACAAGAGTTCGGCTAATGGACAATATGCTTATTTATATAAGAAACAATTGAAGGTTGTGATATATTAGATTAGTCGTGTTTCTCTTGTCATCAATATCGAGAACTGTTATAAATACAAAAGTAAAAAAAAAAAAAAAAAAAAACCTCTGTGTTAAATCCCGACTAGCAAGGGTAGGGGTGAAAGCAATCTTTGTATGCAACTTTACTCTTACATATTTGCAAAGAGGATATTTTCCAGATTCGAACCTGTGACCTTTCAGCTACAAAAGAGCAGCTTTACTACTACTCCTGGCTCGCTCTCTTTATAAATATAAAAGTAATTATAATGATATTATTGTACATATGTTTTATGTTAGGACAGATTTGCAGGGCAGATTTGTTTTTTATTTTTTTTTCCCTTAAACTTAGCTCCTTTTAATCAGAAAGTAAATTATTCATTGCTGGGCCTATGGATCCAAGTTGATAACAGAATTGAGGATTCAATTAGAGGAGATAGAAAAGAAAAAGTTGCTAGGAGGGGGCTGTTATATAGAGGTGGACCATCATTCATATAGGTCTACATAATGTAAATACTTCATGTACATTGACAATCAATCAATAATATTCAAAATTCCATCTTTCAAGTTGTTATCTAAGCTCTCAATTTGGGAGACTTTTTTCTACTGCCATAACCCTTCATTGTTGACCAACTAGCCTTCATCGCTAGGTTCTCAGTGCCTTCATCATTGGGCTTCAAGTGCACATTTGTGGCTATAACATAGCTCAGCCATATCCTGTACCTAACCCATCGGAGCAAGGACACCCATTGATACCCACATCTCCAATTGGCCAACTCTCAGAGCCATGCTAAACATCTGTGCCTCCATGCGCATGTCGTCCTTCTGGCACGCGTAAGCCATGTGAAACCATCCAGCCGTCCAAAAAGGGCGAGGTTGTAATCGAAGGTGAGGAGGGAAAGATGAAGGAGAAGAAGAGGAAAAGGGAAGAGCTTGAGAAAGAGTGGGAGGAGAAGAAGTATGGTGTGGTGGTGGAAGGAGAGGAAGATGAAAAGGAAAGGTTTGGGAATAAAACTCTTGAGAGCAAGAGGAAGATGATATATAACCCAGCTGATATGTTGGTTTCAAAGGAAGGTTATGATGACGAGGATAAGCTTTTGAGGACTATTTTAGTTGGGAATTTGCCTCTCAAGTTGAAAAAGAAGACTTTGTTGAAGGAGTTTAAGAAATTTGGTGAGGTTGAGTCTCTGGTGACTCGTTCTGTTCCAATACAAGATGTAGGTTTTCTTTTTGTTGAATGTTTGCTTTCGTTTGGTACTCTTTAAGGCTTCGATATATTTTTATTTTTTTGGGTGCTAAATTTATGTTTGTTACTTTTCTTGATGAACCAGACCAAAAAACCTAGGAAGGGAGCCATCCATTCGAAGAAAATAAATGATTCCGCTGATAGGTAATGGGTCTGAATTGAACAATTATCGAATTGCAACTTCCTGTGATTATTGTTAATTGCTTGCAGAGAGAATGCTGTTATTTTTTATTTTTTTGTCATTTTAGTGTGATTTTATGGATTCAATATCAAGTAAGCCTGCTCGTTTTGGGCTTGGAGAAATTATTCTGCTTTGATTTAATGCTTAGATTTTATATTTTCCAATGGTCTTAAGTGACTTGCAGACAGTCTGATAAGAATACATTCATTTTCATGCATAGGAAGCCTTTTTCAGGCATTTCTAATTGACAAATATTGTGTTTTGCAGTGTTCACGCATACATTGTTTTCAAGACAGAGGAATCTGCTCAGGCTTCTTTGTCCCACAACATGACTGTGGTATGCCCTTGTTCCTCTGAGTTGGGTTGGATCAAATATGGTGTTTGCTTTGTATTTTTGGTGAAGACTGCAGTTGACAGTTTTCTAATACTATTGTTTAATTATCTGACTGTAGGTTGAAGGAAATCACATTCGTGTTGATAGGGCTTGCCCACCCCGCAAGAAACATAAAGTGAAGATTGCTTCGCTTTATGATAACAAGAGAACTGTTTTTGTGGGCAACCTCCCATTTGATGTTAAGGTGTGTTTCCAATCAATGGATTTATTTTTGCGGTCACATAACCACATCATTTCTGTGTGTGTATTGTCTAATGGATCTCACGTATCTTTTTGTGTAGGATGAAGAACTATATCAGTTATTTTGTGGTATATCCAACCTGGAATCAAGTATAGAAGCTGTTAGAGTCATTAGAGATCCTCATCTTAATGTTGGAAAGGGTATTGCCTATGTGCTGTTTAAAACAAGGGTATGCTGCTTTGGTGCCAGATTAGTTATGCATTTTGATAAAATTTCTTACTTTGTGCTCTTTTACATTTTTAGCTCAAACATGTTATAATTCATCTTGTCATGTTTTTCCCTTTCGGTGGTAAAACTAAAGGGCTGTTTGTGGCTGATAAGCCCATGAAGACCTCGTTTTGTTACGTAGAAACCAACTTATTTGTGTGATTACTTTTAGAAATGCATGTTATCTATTTATGAAAGTGTAGGGTTTGTTTACTTTGGTGTAGATTGGCTGCTTCGTTTATTGTATTGTGTCTTTTTGTGTAACTAGGTACTATTTTTGGAAGTTGCTTCTTTCATTCAGAATATAAGTGGTTAGAGACTGATATGTATAGGACTGAATTTCTGTAATGGTTGAGTGAAGCTGCATATCACACTTTTTAAGTCCACATGTGGGAATAAATTCTACTTGCTTTATGGTGACTTTATATATATAAATATATAACGTGTTTTTTAATTTCTAAGCAAATGGTTGCAAAATGATTTTCCTTTTCTTTTTCATTTGGGTTCTTTCACCTCCGACCCCCACTAATTTTAGATAAATTTGTTTTTGATGTTGATGTTGGAGGACTTTTTTTTCTATCTACCATTGATACAGAAGGTTTGGTATTAAAGTTGTGCCTGTGTATTCTTGCTCCTCAGTGCTGGACTGTTTGTAAATACTGCACGTATTGTTTAAAATTTGATTGTACAATTAAGAGAAAAAAATTTCATGAGAAAAACTGGTTACTAATTTCCAAATAAGCATGAATTTCAAACTGGTTAAATGAGAAAAACTACTGACTTGTGATATTTTTTATGCAATTAATTATTCTTTGCTTTGCATAATGAATTCCTGAAGGTATTACTGACATAAAACCATATGGTATTGATATGCAAATTGGTGTTTGACTGGATCTAATTTGAGACTTCTTAGTTTGTTATCATCAAAGGAAATGTTATCACATGCAAAAAGTGACATAAAGAATGTTCAAAAACTTCTTTCCAAGTCTTATCACCAGGAATTCTGTCTATAAATATTTATTAAAGTTGTGTCTTGTAAATGCAGGAAGCTGCTAATTTTGTTGTTAAGAAACGGAGCTTGAAGCTTCGAGACCGAGAGTTGAGAATCTGTCATGCCAAAGCGGATGGCACCCCATCTAAAAGGCCAAACCCATCACCAGCTCCTAGTACCCCTGCAAAGAAGTTGGCTGTGGCTTCACGATCTCCCTCAAAGCGCATGATGAAAAGGGCAGCAGTAGCTGCGAAAAAGGCTAAAGCAAAATTGTTCAAGGATGGTGGTACACCAAAACAAGCAGGGGTAAAACGCAAGCTTGATAGTCGTACTCCAGATAGCTCCCTACGAAATAAGAAGGGTGGTACACCAAAACAAGCAGGGGTAAAACGCAAGCTTGATAGTCGTACTCCAGATAGCTCCCTACGAAGTAAGAAGGCCAAGAAGAATAACAGATAGCGTGTTCCTAATGGTATCAGGGATTAGATTATCAGAGGAAAGAGAACAAGACTAGATTATACCCAGTGCAAACCACATTGTAGATATATTTTTTGTTTTGACCATTTGGGAGCTTCCTTAATGCCAGACCGATTAGCTGACATGGACTCTGCTAGCCCTAACCAGTTTCAAAACGTTTTAAAAAATAGAAATAAAATAAAAAATTGAACAGAGAAAGAGAGAGAACCCTAATCTAATCAGAAAATTGGGGATTCAAGTGTTTGCAATGCAACAGTCTCTCTTTCTTCTGCACACCGAATTGCATCTTCTTCAGTGATCCATCTGTGCTTCTTTCTTCAGCTGCTGGGATTTGTCTATGGTATGTACATATTCTGCACGTTTTCCTTGCATAAGATCTATAGTTTTCACTGAGCTTTTAACAATCATAGGAAGAAAATTAGGTTCATTCAAACACACCCCACATGCTTGATTTTTAAAAAAATTAACAAAAATTGTAATTTTGGCTGATGGGTATAAAGGGAAAATCCAGTTTCTGAAACCAATAAGAATGCCCACAATTAAGAAAGTATAAATTTGCTTGAATATCTTCATTTTCTTAGTTCGATTTCTCTTGTTTGTGTTCTGATTTTAGTATGTACTTATTTAATTTCATTATTACTGTCAATTTTGTGATTTGATTATAGTTTTGGTTGCAATAGTAATTGGTTGATGACTAGTAATTTTATGTTAAATGAGCTTACTAGTTTTGAAACTTTGTTTATTGATGTAATAATTTACTGAATTTATTCATTGTTGCCCTTTTTTTTTCCCCTGGCATCAGTATCCTTAATGGAATGGAAGGAGAAAGTGTTTCAAGTAAGTCACAAACTGATGTCATAGAAAATATGTCTTCTATGAGGGCATCAAGGATGGGAGTGAAGTATCTGAGCATGGTTTGGAAAAATCCTTAAAATTTAATGAGGAAGTTGAAGAACCTAGGATGACTTTCTCTTCTGAGCAAGAGGTTTTCAATTATTACACTAATTTTGCTCTGCAAAGTGGTTTTGATGTGTACAGAAGAACTTCAAAAGTGAAAGAAGATGGAAAGAAATATTTTACACTTGCTTGTGTTTGTTCTAGGAGGTCAGCAAGTATCAAAGGCATCTTCCAAATCCCTATATTCTTACAAAAACCCAATGTAAAGCGAGGCTTAATGCGTGTTTATGTCTTAATGGAAAGATCAGAGTTTCAAGTGTTGTGCTTGAACATAATCATGAGCTGTGTTTAGGCAAAGCACGTTATGTTAGATATAATAGAAAATCTAAGCCTCAAAGGAAAGGAAACTTGAACTTAGCAATAAGGCTGGGATCAATATGGATGGAAATATTCAATCTCTAGTATAGAAGCTGAAGAATATGGAAGCTTTGCGTTTTTTTAGAAAGATTGTAGGAACTTTATTCCGAAATCTAGTAGCCTAAGATTGGGGACTGGAGATGATGAAGCAATTCAAAACTATTTTGTTCGAATGCAAAAGTCAAACAGTAGTTTCTATTATGTGATGAACTTAAATATTTTTTGGGCAGATGCAAGAAGTAAGGCTGCAAACGAATATTTTGGAGATGTTGTAACATTCGACAGCACATATTTAACAAATAAATATAACATACCTCTTGCTCATTTTGTAGGAGTGAAGACAATCAAATGAAGATTTTGAAACTGTTACATGGTTGTTTCAAACATGGCTGGCATGTATATCTGGACAAACTCGAAATGCCATATAAAGCAATAAAAACTGCTAATTGAGATTGTGTTCCCAAAAGCTCATCATCATTGGTGTTTATGGCACTTAATGAAAAGGGTAACTGAAAAGTTGAAAGAATACCCTCAGTATGAGTCAATCAAAACAGAATTGCATGGTGCTGTATATGATACTTTCAGTAAAGATGATTTCAGTGGAAGTTGGAAAAAATTAATTGATAGTTCTAACCTTCATGACAATGAATGGTTGAATAGCCTATACAATGAGTGACAACGTTGGGTTCCTGTATATGTCAATGACACATTTTGGGCTGGAATGTCTACAATAGATCAAAGTGAAAGTGTGCATGCATTTTTTTATGGATATGTTTACTCGAAGACAAGTTTTAAGCAGTTTGACAAAGCTATGAAAGATAAAGTTGAAAAAGAGTGCATAGCAGATTTTAGTTCCTTTAATAAATTAATCCCTTGTTTGTGTAAGCCATTTTGGCATTGAGTCCCAATTTCAGAAAGTTTGAGAGTTTCAAGAAGAAGTAGCCTGTATCATGTATTGCAATGCTTCTTTTGAGAGGAAAGAAGGCTTGGTTTCAGCATATTCTGTTGTTGAGAGTAAAAAAGTTCAAGAGGCAATCAAATACATAACTTTCAATGTTCATTTTAATGAAGAAGATTTTGAACTGATCATTAGACTAATAGTAAAAAAATCACAACTAGTATGCTGCAAGTAAGTATTCTGACAAACCTGCAGCTATTCACTATGAATCATTACTAAGCTTAATCATATTTTTTTCCTTCTACTATGATTAACATGCAATTTTAAATTTTTACAAATTTAATTTTTTATTTTTTTAATTACTGAAATTAAGTCCTCTATATATAACTTTTCTCTACTAAAAACTTCCAAATGCTCTTCTTTTATTAAAATAATTGGGACTTTAGAACAAATTTGGAATAAGAAATTATTTAAACAGTTTAGAATTTGAAAATTTGGTACAAATTTTTAAAACAAAAAATTCTAAGAAGTGAGCTTAGGAAATTTTTTTAAAAAAATTGATATCTAGATAGATGAGTTTTGAACATAAGAAGATTTTAAAACTAAGTAGAAAATGAAGATTTGGGATTTTTAAATAAAAGAAAACTGATGGAATCACTTAATTGTAAGAATTAAAAATTTAGGGAATAAATTTAACAAAAAAATATAAAAAAGAAAAACTAAAATGTTACATTATCCATAATAAAAAAGTTCAAGGTGAAATTAAGTCTTATATTTTTAATTCGTTTTTATTGTAAGATATTAGTGTTAATATTCTTGCTATGAATTGTTACTATTCTCTACATAGAACAAACTCAATGGTTCTGGACTTGTGTTTCCTTTCATTTCCACCAATATCAACCACTTGTCACCAATTTGAGGACACTTGTCACATAATTGTGCTATGAACTAGCCACGCATCACAATGCCTTTTGGCCTATAAATCCACCCCATTTCAGCACTTTTTTCAAATCTTTACTTACTTCTACTTAAGCACATACACGTAAGAGTGTTGAATCAATTGCAAGCTAGCAGCTACAAGCATGGCCAAGAGTAAAGATGATATAACTTATGCAACATCACAGGCAAGGCTATCAGAGGATGAAGCAGTGAGAGTAGCCTACAAGCATGGCACACCACTTGAAGGAGGAAAGATTGCAGAGTCTGAACCAGTTGATATGTTTCAAAGTGCACACAATGTTTCAAAAGGTGACCAAATTGATGATTCTAATAACAATGATCAGTCTCAGTTGCAACATGACCATGCAGACATGAATGAAGGAGGTTCTAAAGAGTTCACCACTGGGGCTCCTTGCTTGCCCAAAAAAGGGTATCCAACAATTGGTCATAAATTGTTTTACGTTTCGGAATATGATTACCACGAATATGGTGAGAAAGTTATCTTTTCAGGAATATTACTAAAAAATTGTTTATTAGGTCAAAAAAAATTACACGAATTTTGTTTTAAAAAAAGTGTAAAATTTTTCTAACACATGGTATTCGAAGAATACCATCTCTTTTGTGGTATTCTTGGATGGCATTTTGAAATAAAATTGTACACAAAACAACATTCGGGAAAATCAGATTCTCAGGAAAAATTTTAGAAACCTTATACCGAACGTGGGTAAATAAGATTATCACTATCTTTTTTTCAGAATTCTCAAAATATTCCTCCTACCAAACACTCCCTTAATTGTGGCAATTAAGGGCAAGGATAATTTTGTCTTAAAACTAATAAATATGTTTAATTGATTCAATATTATACAATATTATAGATTTATAGTGCAGTGCGGGTAATTGTTTTAATTGAAAGTACAAGGTGACTTTTTGAAAAATCACCTAAGTTTAAGGTGATATCATGTAATTTGCCCTAAAAGAAATCATGGCTTTTGTTTATATATACTGACCTTAATTATCTCTTTGAGACGAGTCGGCTCTTTGGGAATCTCTACAAGCTTTAACTCTGAGTTGGTTATGATACTAACCTCGAGTCGGGGTTTAGTCACAGTTAAAACTCTTTGCTCCTCTCCCAAAGATGTATTTCGTGAGAATCGAACCCAAATTCACTCCCTACCAACTCAACCTGTGTCGCTAAGGGAGTTAATAGGTTAGGCTAGACTTTTGCTTGAATAGCCTAGGCTTGTTAGCCTGTTTAAACCTATTAAATATTCAATAATTAAAAAAAAGGTTCATTTTTCTACAATAAATATAGATAAGTTATCTGTATTAAGCCTAAAACGATGTCATTTTCGAGCGCAAATCAAGGTGTTTTGTAATTATAATTTATTCGAAGGTTATAATAGTCTTTATCATTGACTTTCAACCCAAAACGATGTCGTTTTGGGAGTAAATGTAAATAATTTATCTGTACTCACTGTAGAAACATTAAAACCTTAAAAAAATAATTAAAATTATTTTATTTTATTATTTAAATTTATTAAAATAATAATTTTATTTAAAATAAATAATATAATATAGGCTGATCTGTAGGCTGATATGCTCAATATGTAAAAAAAAATACCTATGACCTATTTTCTAAATAGGCTTTTTTAAAAGTTTAGATATGTTACTATATAATAAGCCAAGTTTGATCTGATATAAGCTAGGCTGTAAGCCCCTATAAATCGACGTAATCCATTTATACCCCAATATGTCGCCAACTGATACACCTATCCGTAGGGGTGCGCAAAAAAACTGGTTCACTTGCCCTGCCCTTGATCTGACCTTGACCTGACCCATACATACCTATTTTTTTAACTGGGTTTAAATACTGACCCACTTTTATTTGGGTCAGTTTTAGACCTGACTTGTTTTAATAATGACTCATTGACCCAAAACTTGACCCACACCCATTATGTGAAGAAAAAAACACAATTATGGTTCTCTTTTCTCTCTGTCACATTCTTGCACTCTACCAAAGAGGATCTCCCATGTGCTTCTCGACTTTTCTTGTGCTCAATCCCGAGCTTCTTGATTAATTTAAACTCATATGGTATGATATGCATAAATACCTTATTGATGTCATATTTTGCTATAATGGTCTTTGTTATTGGCTATAGATTTAACTCTATGATCCTTCCAACATCGCCTCCTTCATTTCATAACAAGCAGTAGATTTCCTTTCTCTCTATTCCTTCGTTTTTTATTTTATTTTAATGGCTTTTACCTCGTAGCTTTTCTGGTAAAATTTAGGTGCATGGTAATTGAGAATTTTCATAAATGTCTCGCATAATGCCGATTGAGCTCAGCAAATTAGCAACTACTTCTTTGTCCAATTTTAATTTGAGCCATTATGTATGCAATTATAATTATTACTTCAATGAAAAAGTTTCTATACAACCATTCTACCTATATAATATGTCATTGTTTATCAATCTAATTCTTTTACATTTTCTATTTTCTTTGTTGTTGATAACTAAAATTATATGTACAATCATATTAGCCAAGAGTTGCCTTAAACTAATTGATCTTTCCCTAATAATAATTGTGTAATTTGGGTTTAAATTTATAAATTTCTTATCAGTAGACAATATGTAATTTTATAATATATCATTGTTAAAATTAGCGATTTGTCATCTTAAGATGAAAAGAGCGTTCTCTCATCCTTTACTTTTCATTAATTTTCACTAATTTTGCTTCACATGTGCAGGGGGCTTAAAATTACATTTCTTGTTATAAAAAAAATTTACATTCCTTTATTTATTCAACAAATATCAAATTTATTATAAAATTTATATATTTTAAAATAAATAAATAATTAAATTATATGAGTTTAAAAAATAAATCAATAACTATATAAAAATCAAATTAAAAACACGTTTTGAAACCAAGTCAAAAACGGGTCAGGTCGGATTTGACTCACTTCAGAAACCAAGTCAGGTCAAATCCGATCCGGTTCTGAATTAGTTCAAAAAAATTTAAACCAAGTCAGACCTAACTTGGATCAAATTAAACGGGATCAGATCAAAATACCTGACCTATAAAAATCAAGTTTGGTCGAGTCGGCACAAAAACCTGACTCGACCCCTAAATAAAAAAATTAAATAAAATGACATATTTACTTCCCAATGCCTTTTTTGTGGAATAATGAAACATGCAGCCATAACAAACATTCACTTATTCCATGAACTTTCACTTAAAATTACAGTATTTTTTTTTCTGTCACATTCATGGATCCACTCACTTTTTTTTCAGGTAATTGAGATCCACACACTTTATATATAAAAGCAAAAGCAGAAACATATTTAAAATTATAAAAACGTACAAATAATTAAAAGAAAAATGTTTAGAACATATTTAAAATTAAAGGTAGAATATTCATACTGCCAAATTTTTCTAGTACCACTCTAATTATCATTATATTCAAAACTTATTTTCCTTTTCTCTTTCTTCGTTTAATTTTTTTTCTAATCCAATAGTGATTAAAATGGTAGTGGAGTAATAATAGAAAAAATTAATAGTATGAATCCTACCTCTCTCTTTTTTGGTATCTTTTTTTTTAGTATCCTGGATGGGGCATGACCCCAAACAGGCTAGAAAGAAGAAATACAACGAGTTCTACCAAAACCACTTAAATCAGCTAAATATAGTAAATAAATACCATATGGGGGATTTGAAAAAGTACATTAATCCTCTTGATCTAGATTTTCAAAGGGGAGATTAGAGAGCCAATCTGCACAGCAATTCCCTTCTCTATATGTGAGATTTATCTTCACTATCCAATCTTTATCCATCCATGCCCGTATGCGAGTCACAATATGAGACTCACAGGTTGACTTTCCTTTTGGGTGAGCCACGTGACTGCCACTTCAGAGTCACTTTCAAAGATAACTTTCCTCCAACCTACTTCTCATGCCATCTCAATCCCCTTCAAAATTCCCCATAGTTCTGCCACATTCGCATTGCAAATACCAATCCGATAAGAGAATCCATTCAACCACTTAGCAGAACAATCTCTAATCACTCACCCACACGCTGCCATACTCGGATTTCCTTTGACTGCTTCATCACTGTTGACTTTAACCCACCCTATTTCAGGAAATTTCCAGTGGATTAAAATCTCCTCTTTTATTCCATGATTGACACCATTCTCTTTCCTATTAGCAACTGTCCAGACCTCCTCTGCGTATCGAAGTATACTGTTAGGATTGTATTCAGTTAGATGGCCTTCGACGCCATGTAGCCTTTAATTCCTCCATTGCCAAATCTTCCAAACAGCCACCGCAAATATTGTATGCCAAGGAATACCTCTGATTACTTCTATAGTTACCTTCAAGTTGGAAATGATCCAATCCTATTCATCGGATGTTAGGAAATTTACACATACTGTATTAGCTTCTAATATGTCCCATAATTTCCTAGCATAGTAACAGTCTCTCAAAGTATGCATTAGAGTTTCATCTCCATTGTTATAAGAATACACTTTGGATCCCCTAGTTGTAAGCTTGCCATCCTTTTCTTCATTAGGAGCTTTCCATGAGCTACTTTCCATAGAAACAGTTTGATTCTTTGGGAACCTTTCTATGTCCATATATCTTTCCAAACTTCAGATCTCTCACTTGTGGTCATTGTCTGATTAGCTAGCAGCTTATATATGCCACTCACCGAGACAGCCCATTTGCCAGAGACATTCCACTTTAAATTATCAGTACCATCTAAGGGATTGGGAGGGAGATGACTTCGAATTGTTTGAATTTCCTCATAAGGAAGCCACCAAGATAACTCTTCAATTTTCCACCCACCAGCATCATTAACATAGTCAGCTACCTTTTTTGTTGCCTCTTCCCACGGTATTGGCTCCAAAGTCCTGTCTATGAGTCTGCCATTTCTGATTGCCCACCTGTCTTGCCAAAACATAACACTATTTCCATTTTCTATCTCCCAACTAGTATGGTCTTCCATTTTCCTCCACTCTAAACAGATATTTTTCCATAACATAGAGTCCCCAACTTTACATGTATATATTTCTATACCTATTCGGTTTCCAGCATATTTAGCCCTTAATAATTTTGCCCACAACGTTTGGGGATTGGTAAATATACTCCACGCCATTTTAGCTAAAAAAGCATCATTAAATAATGTTGTTTTCTTTAGCCCCAAACCCCTTCAATCTTAGGTGTGGTCAAAATATTCCAAATTTCCAAGTGCATTTTTTTTCCATCCTTATCACCCCAGATAATTTGTCTTTGTATTTTCTCCAACTCATCACATACTCCAATGGGTAGTTTACCACATTGCATTTGGAATTAAGGGATAGTGGCCAATACCGATTGTGTAAGAGTAACCCTCCCCGTCTGTGAAAGACATTTTGCTTGCCATCCAAATAGTCTTTGCCTGACACTGTCTATAATATCTCCATAATGTGGTTTAGTCACTCTACCATGTTGCATCCAAGCCCCCAAATATCTCCCAACATTTTTCACTCTTTTAAAACCACACAAGTCTGTAATTCTCGATGCTACAGCTTACTTTGTATTTCTTGAAAAGAAAATGCTTCTTTTTTGCACATTAATTTTTTGACCTGAAGTTTCTTCAAATAAATTTAGGCATTGCATCATATTCTGAATCTAGACTTCATTCGCTTCAGCAAACAAAACTAAATCATCAGCAAAAATGAGGTGGGATATTAACGACCCCTCCTTACCAGCTCTAATTGGCAGCCAAAGGGCCCCTCTAACTGCAGTATCTATAATATGGGTCAACTTTTCCATTCCCAAAACAAATAGATATGGTGAAATAGGGTCACCTTGACAGATACCTCTAGTTGGTTGGAATTCCTGGGTCATCCCTCCATTCCAAAGAATATCAATAGTGGTTGATTTCACTGACACCATTATTTTAATTTTATATCAATTACCTTATCTGGAATTTGAGCTTCCTTTAGGATCTGATGTATGAAATTCCAATTGAGCCTATTATAAGCTTTTTCCAATTCTATTTTAACTGTCATAAATGTTTTTCTTCCCCTCATTCGATGCATACTATGGATAAGCTCTTGGACAATCACAATATTATCATGAATGTGTCTCCAACGGACGAAACTAGCTTGTGTTGGTGAGATAAGCTTCTCTAAATTCGATCTCAGGCGTTGAACAACCAATTTGGATATCAGTTTATACAGAACTGTACATAGTGAAATCGGTCTAAGCTGCTTGATGTTTGTTGGACCTTGGACCTTAGGGATAAGCACCAGCAATGTAGAATTTATTGTTGATAACATACTTGGATTCTGCCATATTTCATGGACAAAATTAACCATCTGCTCCTTAATGCTATTCCAATTCCTTTGAAAGAAAAGAGCCGGGAAACCATCAATTCCTGGAGCCTTATAAGGTTGCATATCAAAGATGCAATGTTTGATTTTCTCAAAAGAGGGTTTCCTCACCATATTGCACTGCTCTTG